GAAATGCGTGCCTTGGTGGTCTCTGCTTGTGCTCGTGCAGACGTTTGAAACGCGCTGCTGGGGCAGGTACCCGGGACAATGAACCACAGAGCGATCCTTGATTTAAACGAAGCGGCGATCGCTGCGTGTATCCGTGACGCTAAAACGCACTTGTGGCGAATTATGTCTCCCCATACCTCTGTTTTTTTATGAGTGCGTCTGGAAAAAAAATACGAAAATGGTGGTAAATATTTCCCGACCCCGGCCCCGTTTTGGAGTTTCCCGGGGTTGATATAGCAAACCACTAGATGTTGCCAAAGAAATTGGGAATCATTGGTCCCATTTTCAGGGACTCCATTATTTCCCCTTTTCTTTCCCAAAAATTGCCAGAGGTTAGCACCTTGGACTTTTTTCTCTCAGAGAAAAAAGTATAATGTGCCTTTTACACTTCAAGAAATGGGGGGGCAACACTTCAGTTGTCGATCTCGGCGCTGGGCCCGACGACATTATATTCGTATGCACAACATTTAAACATCAGCCCTTGCGTCCTATTACGCCTTTACAATCTTATTTGGTCACAAAGGGGTTCTTCCCAGCTGGGAAATCCGCCCTTGTTCTCCCTTTCCCCAAACCGGCATACGGGACTGCCCCCCCACTATGTCCCATTTCTCACCCCGTTTGTTTGCAATTTATAAACTTATAAAAAGCCCGTTTAGGGGTATTTTGAGAACACCTTCTCTCCACTCGTCAATTTGGGTTTCGTAAGGGACTTCACCATAAAACCCAGCCCTTATACGTATGTTGTAATGCTTTCAAAAACCCTTTTGTTATTCTTTTTTTGACCTTGAAGGATATGGGGCACAACTTGGAGGTATAATATTTTAGCCCATCCACTCCTTGGCCTTGAGGCAATTACCATCCCTTCCCTTTAAAAACTTTTTAATGACAGGCATTTCCGTGTTGGGTTAATAATGTGCTCTCCCGGACTTTTTCCAAACTGAAGGTGTCCCCAGGGGTTGTTCTGGAGCCAACACTTTTTCTCCTTGCTATTAATGATTTGGCCCCTTTGTCTTCCATCAAATATTTGGTCTCCCCTCTATGTTTAGACTTCGCTATTGCCTGTGAAAGGCGCGACTGTACCTCCTTACAGTTTCTCTCCAGCATGCAGTCGACCCTGTTTCCCCTTGGGCCCCCAACATGGGTTTTTTAAATTTTCCAGCACTAAAACCCACAAATCCTTTCATAGACGCTCGTCATCTCTGATCATCCTTTGACCCCTATGGCTCACGTATCCCTGAACTGTAAAAGAATTTTTTTTTATTATTTTTTAAAAATAAACCTTTAAAATTTAAAAATAAAAATTTTTAAAATTTATTTTTAAAAAATGTAAAATTATAAATTAAAAAAAAGAAATTATTATTTAAAATTTTCAATTTCTCTTTCCCTTCCCCCTTTACCTTTTTTTTTTTGGGGTTTTTTTCCCTTAAGTTTTGGGGCTTTCCTCCCCTTTGATCGGGTTTCCTGGAAAATATTTCCTCTCGAGGGAACTTTTTAAGGGTACTTTTTTTTAAACATTTTTATTTGTTGGTGCGTATCCCTCCCCTCTTCCCTTCATTCCCTTTTTTTTCAAAACCTTTTAGGGACAGAATCTAATTTTCACCCCCCGGAATTTTCCCTGTTACTTTTTTTTCTCCCCCCTTTTAACCCCAAAATTTTACGGTTTCCCCCCCTTTTTTTGCCCTTTCCCTTTTCGCCGCTTTTCCCCTGGTCTAAGCTTTGCGGGAACGCACTTTTCCGAACGGTTGTGGGCCCCTTCCTTCGCTTATTTTTTCGTTTTAAAGATCTCGCAATCTTTTTTATTATGTGGTCACTTTTTTTGTAGACTTTCCCCCCATTTTTTTCGGCCTTTTATAACTCCCCCTTTCCTTTGTATCCCTTTTTCTCCCCACTTTCTAAGAAATTGTTTTTTTTTTTTTTGTTGGGTCCCCGGTCATTTTGGGACTTTTCAGGGAAAAGGGAACAGGCAGGCCCAATGCTGCGCGGGTCAGCATTTCTGACCTCCCAGTTTCTTTTTGAGGTTTTTCCCTTTGTACGGACTATTTTGTTTGTAATATCTTCCCACCTTCACACCTTTGGAAACAACTTTGGGTTTTCTACTATGTCGGCAACAAACTTAAAAGTCTTTTAAAACCCGAGTATAGGTTACGGGCCCGTTTTTTTTCCTTTTATCCCCCATTTGGGGGTTGGGGGTTTTGGGGGAGACAAAATTTTTCTCTCCTTCTTCGCATTGGCCAAAAACTCGTCTTACTCTTTGGTTTTTTCATGGAGAGGCGTTTGCTCCTTTTCTGTGAGAATTGCCAAACTCCATTATCAGTCAGCCAATTCTGTTGGACTGCCCACTTTATCAACGAGCACGCAGAATTTACCTCTGTCGTCGTCTTCGCCCGCCGCTGCTCTTTTTTCCCTTTCCCCTTCTCGCTGATGGACCCACCTTTCTTTCCGGATCTTCTCATTGACTTTTTGACAACGACTGACTTACTTCACAAATTCTGATACTTTCAGCCCTTTCTACTTGTATCTCTTGCTACCCTCTACCCCGTACTATCCCCTGCCCCGCTGTTTTCTGTAACCCTGTGATCATCCCCCCTCCCTTCTGCCATCCAATTCCCTTGCTTCCTTCCCTACCCTGCAGCGCTGTATAGCCCTTGTGGCTTAGCGCTTCTTTTTTGATTATAATAATAATAATAATTAAGAAATGTTGGCAACACTGTCCTATATGGGTTTAATGCTCCTTTTTAATTAAAAATTAATAGCCAGGTCATTAATGTCCAGTATCTAGTAAAGGATATTCCTTATCAAGCAGGGAGTAATTTTTTTTTTTAAAAGTCTCTTAACATGTTCGGTCAGACATGCATTGGAAAATTGGGGTGTTGGAAAGTTTTATATGAAAGCTAATTGCATCATCGTTAAATGGATGCTGTATAGCCCTTGTGATTTAGCGCTTCTTTTTTATTATATAATCAAGGGGGAAGCGCTAAACCCGGAGGATTATACAGCGCCTGGGGGGGGGATGTGGAAGGCATTCAGGCTTAATTCGGGGAACTGGAGCACATCCAATTCCCTAAATCAAGAGCCCCTCACCAACATCAAGGAACCTTCCTTGAGGGGCTTTTTTTATTATAATTAAATGGACATTAAAATAGTACAGTACAAATGTTAGGTAATTGGTTATGCTCGACATCATATACACACTATGTATATATATATATATAAAATAGTACTGCATGCCCAAGGTCAGCCTTAAATGGTACCAGCAGCTTAGCCGGTTCTAAGTGAGGCAAATCTACAGCAAGATTTGTCTGGAATTACAAATATTCTTCCACATCCCCCCCCCCAGGCGCTGTATAATCCTCCGGGTTTAGCGCTTCCCCTTGATTATAATAATAATACAAATATTTTTCTAATTTGAAGGACTAGGATTGGCCTGGTAGTTTTCTACGAGGGACCAGTGTAGTGATCATCACTTAAAACTGAAAAACCTGTACGAAGAAAGATCAAAATCATGGCCATCGATCTCTGGGGTTAAGACAAGGGAAAAAACCTATATGAAGTGGAATAGTGTGTCGTGGTCGTCCTCGGTGGTTAAGAGGGAAAACTGCCACTGGACATTGGTACGAGTGAGTGAGATTTTAGTTTGATTTGAAATGATAGTCCCCTCAAGGAAGGTTCCTTAATGTTGGTGAGGGGCTCTTGATTTAGAGAATTGGATCTGTGCTCCATTTCCCCGAATTAAGCCCGAATGCCTTCCCCCCCCCCCAGGCGCTGTATAATCCTCCGGGTTTAGCGCTTCCCCCTGATTATAATTGAAATGATAGTGGTGTGGAACTGAGTTTGGTTTAACATTGCAGAATGGAGGATGTGTATGATTGTAATCGACATTGCAGAATAGAGGATGTGTGATTGATCGACTCTGGGTTTTAAGAATGGACAGGGTTGCATCGACTGCACATAAGCGGATGGGCGTGGTCTAGATAATGGGCATCGTATTCGACATCACATGGTCTGCCCCTCAAGGAAGGTTCCTTGATGTTGGTGAGGGGCTCTTGATTTAGGGAATTGGATCAGTGCTCCAGTTCCCCGAATTAAGCCTGAATGCCTTCCACATCCCCCCCCCCAGGCGCTGTATAATCCTCCGGGTTTAGCGCTTCCCCCTTGATTATAATAATAATAATCACATGGTCTGGAGGATGGGCGTGGTTGCATCTGATGCGAGTTACAGAAATCGCAAACTGGAGGGCTTTGTTGCAGAATGCCTAAGATTGGTTACGAGAATAGACGTGGTCGCAAGACATTGAAGTATATTATGGTGTAGGTGGTAAAGGTATGTTTATATATATATATAATGTATATATTATATAATATATATATATGTATATAATTATATATATATGTATATATATATATATATATATATATATATTCATAAGTTGGCTTAGCGCTTCTTTTTGATTATAATAATATAGACTTAAGTGGTTTAAAGAAGGGAATATTTTTTTGATTATAGTAAAGGAGGGAAGGGTGCGGCAGGTAAGTGCGTATTGAGATATTCAGGGCTAAATAATTTCAGTAAAGTGAGCCACGAAAAGGCGTGGTTTTGTACATTGGTATCGGAGGATGGCCATGGTTCGGTTCTGATTGCAAGTTTTCAGGTTGTATGAAATCTCATGCTGTATAGTCCTTGTGGCTTAGCGCTTTTTTGATTATAATATGAAATCTCATTTTGTGCTGTATTGGTTTCAAGATGTTTGTGTGCCATCGTAGCACTAGGGATAAATTGTTCAAATTCCCCTTTATTTAAAAGAATATTAGATGGGAGTGATCGCCGACAGTTGTCAGACGAGTAGGTTGAGCATCTTTAATCTTTAGAGGAACATGGGAGGGCATGGTTGGTTGTGGCACCATGCTGTATGACTGATGTATCATTCCACTTAAATTTTTTTTTTTTTGTGCCCTCTACGGAGGTGATCATTTCAGTACAAGAGGAAGGGGTGTCTCCAGCCCAAGGAAAGTATGGTTTTAGTAGATGGTGTAATAGCTTCAGCACGAAAATCCCTTCAGTACGAGGAAGGACTTTGCTGCTCCTGCACGAGAGGAAGGGTGTGGTTGCTCTGGCGGCACAAGAGGGGCGTGGTGGCTTGTCGAACAAGAGGAAGGGCATGGTGGCTCCGGTGGTACAAGAGGAAGGGCATGGTGGCTCTGGCGGCGCGAGGAAGGGTGAGGTGGCACAAGGGCGTGGTAGCTTCAGCTGCACAGGAAGGGCGTGGTAGCTTCAGCTGCACTGGACCCCTCAAGGAAGGTTCCTTGATGTTGGTGAGGGGCTCTTGATTTAGAGAATTGGATCTGTGCTCCAGTTCCCCGAATTAAGCCTGAATGCCTTCCACATCCCCCCCCCCAGGCGCTGTATAATCCTCCGGGTTTAGCGCTTCCCCCTTGATTATAATAATAATAATAATCAGCTGCACTGGAAGGGCGTGGTAGCTTCAGCCGCACTGGAAGGGCGTGGGGTGGCGCCAGCAGCACAAGAGGGGCATGGTGGCTTGCCGCACAAGAGGAAGGGCATGGTGGCACAAGAAGTGTGAGGTGGCTTCGGCAGCACAAAAGGAAGGGCACAGTGGCTCTGGCGGCACAAGAGGAAGGGCGTGGTGGCTTCAGCGGCACAAGAAGGGCGTGGTAGCTTCAGCGGCACAGGAGGAATGGTGGGTTGCTTCGGCGGCACAAGAGGGGCATGGTGGATTCGGTGGCGCAAGAGGTAGAGTGGTTTAAAGGAGGGGATCTTTTTGATTATAATAGAGGGAAGGGTGTGGCAGGTAAGTGCGTATTGAGGTATTCAGGGCTAAATAATTTCAGTAAAGTGAGCCACGAAAAATGGGCGTGGTTTTGTTCATTGGTATCGGAGGATGGCCATGGTTCGGTTCTGATTGCAAGTTGTTAGGCTGTATGAAATCTCATTCTGTGCTGTATTAGTTTCCAGATGTTCAGCGTGTGCCATCGTAGCACTAGGAATAAATAATTCAGACAAATTCCCCTTTATTTAAAAGAATATTAGATGGGAGTGATCGCCAACAGCTGTCACACGAGTAGGTCGGTTGAGCATCTTTAATCTTTACAGGAACATGGGAGGGCATGGTTACTTGTGGCACCATGCTGTATGGCTGATGTATCATTCCACTGTTTTAAAAAGCATTTTTGTCCTCTACGGAGGTGATCATTTCAGTACAAGAGTAAGGGGTGTCTCTTCAGCCCAAGGAGAGTATGGTTTTAGTAGATGGTGTAATAGCTTCAGCACGAAAATCCCTTTAGTACAAGGAAGGACGTGGTTCCTCCAGCACAAGTGGAAGGACTTGGTTGCTCCTGCATGAGAGGAAGGGTGTGGTTGCTTTGACGGCACAAGAGGGGCGTGGTGGCTGGTCGAACAAGAGGAAGGGCATGGTGGCACAAGAAGTGAGGTGACATCTGCACCACAAAAGGAAGGGCATGGTGGCTCCGGCAGCACAAGAGGAAGGGCGTGGTGGCTTCAGCGGCACAGGAGGAATGGTGGGTCGCTTCGGCGGCACAAGAGTGGATTCGGTGGCGCAAAAGGAGGTATGTGGTGGCTTCGGCAGCACGAGAAGCATGTATGGTGGCTCCGGTGGCGTGAGAAGGGCGTGGTCACTCCGGCGGCACAAGAGGAAGGGCGTGGTGGCTTCGGCGGCACAAGAGGAATGGTGTGGTCGCTTCGGCGGCAGAAGAAAGTGTGTATGGTCGCTCGGCGGCGTAAGAGGAAGGGCGTGGTCGCTCCGGCGGTGCAAGGGGAAGGGCATGGTGGCTCCGGCAGCACAAGGGGTGTGGTGGTTCTGGCGGCACAAGAGGAAGGGCATGGTGGTTCTGGCGGCACAAGAAGGGCGTGGTGGCTCTGGCGGCACAAGAGGAAGGGCGTGGTGGCTCTGGCGGCACAAGAGGAAGGGCGTGGTGGCTCTGGCGGCACAAGAGGAAGGGCGTGGTCGCTCTGGCGGCACAAGAGGAAGGGCGTGGTCGCTCTGGCGGCACAGGAGGAAGGGCGTGGTCGCTCAGGCGGCACAGGAAGAAGGGCGTGGTCGCTCGGGCGGCACAGGAAAGGCGTGGTCGCTCGGGCGGCATAGAAGGAAGGGCGTGGTCGCTCGGGTGGCACAGAAGGAAGGGCGTGGTCGCTCGGGCGGCACAGAAGGAAGGGCGTGGTCGCTCGGGCGGCACAGAAGGAAGGGCGTGGTCGCTCGGGCGGCACAGAAGGAAGGGCGTGGTCGCTCGGGTGGCACAGGAGGGAGGGCGTGGTCGCTCCGGCAGCACAGGAGGGAGGGCGTGGTCGCTCCGGCAGCACAGGAGGGAGGGCGTGGTCGCTCCGGCAGCACAGGAGGGAGGGCGTGGTCGCTCCGGCAGCACAGGAGGGAGGGCGTGGTCGCTCCGGCAGCACAAGATGGGAGCATGGTCGTTTTTGTACAAAAAAAAAAAAAATGGTTTTCAGTGCAGAACGAGGAAAGACAGGATTATTTCAACATTGCTTCTCATACCCCATATGCTTGTTATTAGTTCCCTGAATAAGAAAGGAAGGTCGCAGTTGCAATTCAAGAAAGGCGGCACAAGAGGAAAGGCATGGTCTTTTCAGCATCGAGTAAGAATGGTCTTTCACAAATCTACATAAAGGTAAGATGTATCATTTCAGTTTAAGGCAAGTATATTTTGTTTTCCTATTACATAAGTGGTTCTTGTTTTGGGATGGTCTCCCTCTATATAAAATTAAAAATATTTCAAAAAGTTAAGAAGCTAATTTCAATTCCTGACTATTGTTACCCCTGATCCCCTCCGTTAAGAATCTCTGCTCTAGTTTTTTCCAATAGTATATTCTGATGGTCATTTTACTATTCTAATGGGATTCATTTTCCTACATTCTCTAATCTAGTATGTATAACACATGAACAGTAACTTTAGGTATGATATGCAGTAGTAGACGACTCAATTTGTTCTCTGGGTGCTTGTCGATTCCAGCCATATGGGATTTATGTCGAATGAATTCATAAAGGTATATTGTCTCCCAATTTTAGGAAACCAGAATTATTTCAGCTAGTTCCAGGACAGATGCTTTTATCCAAATTCACCAATTCCAGGTTCCCCATTTTGGCTTGATTGTTGAGACTGGGTTGAAGAGCCTGGAACAGTTGACTTGGTCAAGGTGGAGCGAGGCAGGGGACACGGGAAATCCAGGGACAGGGCCAGAGGAAGACGCTCATTCATAGGCATAAGATCAAACAACCGTGTCGGTCATTTGGGGTCGTGTATGGACTGGAAGCAGCAGTAGATAGCCAGTTACCGTGGATGGGAACAAGCTCTGCTACTCGCCTGGTCTATTGCCTTCGAAATCAGGATATTCCCTCCGACTACGCTTGGGGAATGCTGTGTTATTAGGATAATGCATGGACTAAACAGTATCCGTTTTAAGTCGCTTGAGCCAGCTGTTCTGCATGTTACGGGAGAATGTCATAGGTATCGAGAGTTTGGAAAGCACAGGCATACCAGTTTTTGCACTTATGACTCGCTCTTTGTCCACGGTTTGCAGGCAGAAACATTATATATTAACACTACCTGTGCTTGATGTGATTTTTACTGCTAATATAGTTGTGCGTGTTTCACAACCTTACTGATTTTGTATTCAAACACGAGCACAATACATCAATATTTGCCTTTAGAGTGCGTCCTTGCGCCTTTAGAGCTACTTCTACATATAGATATGATTTAGTCATCAGCTTTTTATACTTCATAAGGTTGAATATATGTATATATATAATAAAATTTTGAATGAATTTTTTGTTGTTCCTTAACTGATGAAATGGTCTTTAATGTATTATACATTAATATGTTGTATGAGATTTAAAAATACCATATGTATGATACTACCTAAGAAAATATTTATAAATAAGGCATGTGAATAATGCATGTACATTAATATGCTGCATGTAATTTAAAAATCACATGAAGTATATATATTACGCACCCTATACCCATCCTGTGGGCGGTAGTCAAAAGATTAGAGGTACATAATGGGTCCAGGAACTGGACCCCAGCTGTATAGCCCTTGTGGCTTAGCGCTTCTTTTTGATTATAATAATAATAACTGGACCCCAAAGTTATGATAGCTGAACTAGTTGCAAAGGTAATGAACTCCAGGTAGATCTGGTCACAATCATGGCAAGATACAAAGGTAATGAATCATCACCACACCTATACATGGTTACAATCATGAACAAATTACAAAGTAATGAGCCACTGACACGTCAATACCCGGTAACAATTGTAATCAGTTATTAATCAGTTATAAATGCAGGTATTAAGTGGGTCATACACCCACACGAGGGCGCATGCACACGAGCATACATACATACATACACACACGTGGTTAGTTAGTTTAATATGTTTATTATGCACCCCATACCCATCCTGTGGGCGGTAGTCAAAAGATTACAGAGGTACATAATTGGTCCAGGGACTGGACTCCAAAGTTTTGATAGCTGAGCAAGTTACAGAGGTAATGAACTCACAACTTACAAAGGTAATGAACTCACAATTTACAAAGGTAATGAACTCACAATTTACAAAGGTAATGAACTCCAGGTAAGTCTGGTCACAATCATGACAAGTTACAAAGGTATTTACAGATTACAGAGGTACGTAATGGGTCCAGGGACTGGGCCCCCAAAGTTTTGATAGCTGAACTAGGTACAAAGATAATGAGCTCACAAGTTACAAAGGTAATGAATTCTGTAGAATGGTTACTTACGTTTATACTTTGGCTACAATCATGAACAAATTATAGAGTAATGAGCAATTCACACTTCCACACCCGGTCACAACTGTAATGAGTTATTGGTGCAAATATTGATTGTTGAGTCAACACACACACACACCACACACACACACACACACACACACACACACACACACACACACCACACACACACACACTCACACACACACACACACACACACACACACACACACACACACCACACACTTTAGTTTAATATCTTTATGCACCCCATACCCATCCTGTGGGCGGTAGTCAAAAGATTACAAAGGTACATAATGGGTCCAGTGACTGGACCCCAAAGTTATGATAGCTGAACTAGTTACAAAGGTAATGAACTCCAGGTAGATTTACAGCTAGCAAAGTCAGGGTATTTCTCCAGAATGGTCTGTAATATACAACTGTGGATAAAATGCTTAGCCATTTCTTGAGTGAGTTGTCTCTAAATTCATTAATTTTATAGCACTCCAGTACATAATGACGCAAGGTGTGACAATAGTCCATCTGGCAAAGTTTACATTTCGTTGGGTCTGCTGATCTAACCTGCCAAAGATACTTGTAACCCAGCCGGAGCCGAGCAGTAGTGACATCCAAGAGTCTGCTTATCTTGTTGGATGCACCATAGACATGTGGCTCCTCCTGCAAGATGAAATGATGATAGATGGACTGACTTGTGTCAGTCTCCCTAAGTCTAAGGCCCTTAGTCAATAAAGTTCAGTTGAAGTTCTTCTCGTATAATTGTTCTCAAACTGCTAACTGACAAGCTACTCCCTCTTTGAAAGCATACAGCTTAGCCAATTCATCAGTTCTATCATGCATCTGACCAATGTGAGATGGAATCCACTTGCATAACAAGCGGCTTTCTGTGTAGTATGTCATTGATGTCAGCTAGGCCTGCATACCTTGTAGAAATAAAGATGTTATTATTATAGCTATGATAGGACTCATGCCTGGAATTCGAGCATTGGTAAGGCATGTCAGGAGTGTGAGCTATGATGAGACTCCAGCCAGGGGTTCGATCTGTGATAGGACACATGCCAGCGGTATGAGCTGGGTTGAGTTATAATAGGACACGTATCAGGAATCTGTTTTGATAGGATAAACATACCTGGGGATGTTGGGCTGGCTTTGATAGCAGGCATGTATTGTGAGACTCAAAAGTTATAAGAATCTGTCCTCATACCTATTGTCCCGGTTCACCTTGCAATATATAGGTACATGGATGTTAGCGGACAGTCGTAAGTGGCATCCTGGGGAAGAGGACCAAAGGACCCCAATCGAAATAAGCCCTATTGCAGAGGCAAATGCAATGTTTGCGGGTTTCACAGACCCACAAAGGATCACTTGGACAACGAAATATGGATCCTAGGTTGCAGCCTATACAGATGCGACAGAGTGAACAGGCAAAAAGGGGGGGGGGGGTTGGCCTGTATATCGCACAGAACTGCTCAATGCCTCAAATGTAGTGGAAGTTTTAGCAGTAAAGATCGAGAACCAAAACCTAGTCATTGTGGTAGTATACAAGCCTCCGGATGCAACGTCCCAACAATTCCAGGAACAGCTGTTGAAAATTGACCACTCTGGAAAATCTTCCAGCTCCTGCCCTCAACATCTTGCTCCTGGGGGATTTCAACTTGAGGCACCTAAAATGGAGGAATATAGCAAATAATGTTGCAGTGATAACACCAGGAGGGAGCTCTGACGAGAACTCTCTCTCTCTCTCTCTCTCTCTCTCTCTCTCTCTCTCTCTCTCTCTCTCTCTCTCTCTCTCTCTCTCTCTCTCTCTCTCTCTCTCTCTCTCTCTCTCTCTCTCTCTCTCTTTCTCTCTCTCTCTCTCTCTCTCTCTCTCTCTCTCTTTCTCTCTCTCTCTCTCTCTCTCTCTCTTTCTCTCTCACACACACACACATACAAGCTTTTAAATCTCTGCACAAAATTCAACTTAAACCAGCAAATAATAGAGCCTACTAGACTGGAGAATACGCTAGACCAAATCTTCACTAACACTGATGATCTGATACGAAATGTCACCATATCAAAAACAACATACTCAGATCACAACATAATCGAGGTTCAGACATGTATGCGCGAAGCCCCAGACAGACAAAATGATTTAAGTCACGAGGGAGCCTTCACCAGATTCAACTTCAATAACAAAAACATAAAGTGGGACCCCAATGGAAATAAGTCACTCTCTGACTTTTTTGGGTTATCCTAGGTTCTCTACACATATGCTGCTATGTATGATAATTCTATGTTTACTAAGTAAACCAAGTCCTAAACGATATAAACTGGGAAGATAGACTAAGCAACACAGACCCCAACTTATGCCTAGAACAGATTAACTCTGTGGCACTTGATGTATGCTCAAGGCTTATTCCTTTAAGAAAAAGGAAGAGTAGATGTAAAATATAGACAGGCGCTCCCTTTACAGTCGACGGAAAAGAATAACAGCGGCCAAAAGAGGCCAATATATCTGAAATGCGTAGGGAGTCACTGGTCAGAGAAATAGCAAACATCGAACTTGAGCTAAAGGAACCTTATAGGAGTCAGGAATCGCGGGAAGAACTAAAAGTCATAAATGAAATCAAAAGAAACCCAAAGTATTTCTTTTCTTATGCCCAATCAAAGTCGAGAACAACATCCAGTATTGAGCCCCTGCTTAAACAAAATGGGTCATACACAGATGACAGCAAGGAAATGAGTGAGCTACTCAAGTCCCAATATGACTCGGTTTTTAGCTAGCCGCTAACCAGACTGAGAGTCGAAGTTCTAAATTAATTTTTTATGAGAGAGCCACGGAATTTGGTAAACACAAGCCTGTCTGATGCTATCCTGACGCCAAATGACTTCGAACAGGCGATAAATGACATGCCTATGCATTCTGCCCCAGGGCCAGACTCTGGAACTCCGTGTTCATCAAGAACTGCAAGAAACCCCTATCATGTGCTTTTACCATTCTATGGAGAGGGAGCATGGACACGGGGGTCGTCCCGCAGTTACTAAAAAAACAGACACCCCCGTCTCCACAAAGGGGGCAGTAAAGCAATAGCAAAGAATTACAGACCGATAGCACTAACATCCCATATAAAAATCTCTGAAAGGGTCCTAAGAAGCAAGATCGCCACCCATCTAGATATCCATCAGTTTTTTTTTTTTATTCGCCGGTACTCTCCTGGCCCGGGTCTTTTCCAAGTAGTGGTGACCCGGCCTTGGCTACCTATCTGGGGAGTATCTCGAGACGTAAGTCTCCCATGGGAGGAGGTACAAATACCCCCTCATCTTTGGGACCAACTGTCCCTAGGCCTAGCCACATTCCCCGCCCTCACGGGGCTCGTAGGGAGAAGATAGGCCTCTGGTCTGCCATCTGCCCTGCCCCAAAGGGGCTCGTGGGGATGGCAGTCTTATGAGCTGCAGATGGCAGCAAGCTCAGGCCTACTTCATCTGTCCATCAGTTACACAACCCAGGGCAACATGGGTTTAGAGCAGGTAGCTCCTGTCTGTCCCAATTACTGGATCACTACGACAAGATCCTAGATGCACTAGAAGACAAAAAGAATGCAGATGTAATATATAAAGACTTTGCAAAAGCCTTCGACAAGTGTGACCTGGAGTTTACCTGGAGAGAGTTCCGGAGGTCAACGCCCCCGCGGCCCGGCCTGTGACCAGGCCTCCTGGTGGATCAGAGCCTGACCAACCAGGCTGTTACTGTTGGCTGCACGCAAACCAACGTACGAGCCACAGCCCGGCTGGTCAGGAACCGACTTTAGGTGCTTGTCCAGTGCCAGCTTGAAGACTGCCAGGGGTCTGTTGGTAATCCCCCTTATGTATGCTGGGAGGCAGTTGAACAGTCTCGGGCCCCTGACACTTATTGTATGGTCTCTTAACGTGCTAGTGACACCCCTGCTTTTCATTGGGGGGATGTTGCATCGTCTGCCAAGTCTTTTGCTTTCGTAGTGAGTGATTTTCGTGTGCAAGTTCGGTACTAGTCCCTCTAGGATT